GCACCGGAGCACACACTTTTGTATAATGTATTATGCATTAAGCCCATTCTACAATTGTAAGCGTAGTTGTAAGAATTAATCGATCGTAATATCGAATATTTTCCTCATATTTGACTATGGTTAAATCTTACAACTACGCTTTAAGCCCATTCCACACAGTTACATGTAAGCGTAATTGTAATTGTAGCTGTAAAAATAGATACCAATCAGAGTCGAATTCGAGGAGAATATTTGATCGTGATTGGTCAATTCTTACGACTACAATCATTTACAATTATGCTCATGCAGTTATAGAATAGAATTCTTAAAATATAAGAAAATCGACCATTCAGTTCTTTATTTCATGGAAAGAAAAGAAATGAAAGACCATTCATTTTCTCATTATGCAAAACTCTGCTTCCGTCTTTAACACCATGGTATATGGAAAAGTTTACATAGTTTAATTAAACAGTAAGTAATAATATAAATCGTTATTTGTTGTACTGCTTACATTATGGCTTTAAGATCTACTGTTCAAGCTTTTTTGTGTATATATGATCATAAAGGATAAGAGTTTTGCATAATGAGAAAATGAACCAATCAAAGATGAGAATGATCCTTCATTTCTTTTCTTTCCATATAAAGAACTCTGAATGGTCGATTCTCTTATATTTTAATTTTCGCCATTCTACAATTGCGTGAGTGTAATTGTAAGTGGTTGGAATAGTAAGAATTGAACGATCACGGTCAAATATTCTCCTCGAATTCGACTCAGATTGATGCTATTTTTACAACTATTATCACAACTCTTGATGCTTGTTTTTATCAATAAATTAACTTCAATTTCGGTTTAACATATTCTTCATCTTTATTATTATAAATTAAAAAAAAAGATAGAGTTTGTTAAACCGAGATTAAAATTAAACTATATTGATAGAAATGGGCATAAATCAGCCGATAAATTTAACTTTCATAACAACATTCTCTATTAATTTAGTACGTCTGAAGTAGATTCCGCAGAAAAAAACTGTTTACGTATCACACTAAAAAATAGTCTGGTAATAGCTATTAAATATTGAATGAATGAAATTAATAGTTCCAATCAAATGTCGACTAAAATAAATTTACTTTTCTAAATATAATAGCAATTATTACTAGACGATTGTTTATATTATTATATATTTAGTATTATACTTACTAAATATTTAGGGAAGTAAACTTATTTCTAAAACCATCTTCTCCGCATTTCAAACAAAAGATATTAAAATTGTCAATTAAAATCTGTCTTCTTTAAAACGTCATTAGCTTAAGATCCTTTGGAGAATTTACAATTTGTATCAAAATTTCAGACAAAACTTTATCACGTAGTTTTATACGTCACGTAAAACATGAAATATAATCAGAAGTGAATGTAAAATATATACTAAAAATGCGTGCGCGTAATATCAAAATTATAAGGTTATAAACAGGATTCTGCTCTGGAATCTGATACGAATAGTAGAGATAGCATCTGAAATACGTTTCCTTCGAGTAGTTTCAGACACTTAGCTATCAAAGATCCGTTGTTCGTTATCGGGTGGAGCAACGGAAGGTGCGCGCGTAAAGTACGTACGCACCTGCGCGTGTTCTCGCGTAAACAGTAAAGTAGGCTGTGTACGCGGTGCGCGAGAGCGTGAGGTGAGCGGGTGTAACCGGTTCCACCGATTTTTTCACGAAAAGCACTCGCGACGCTTTATAAAATTGCGCGTACCCTTTGTCGTCGTCGTCTTCGTCGTGTCGTCGTCGTTGGACGTCACGTATGCGTGGTGTACATCGGGATACTTAACCCGAACAACCGCGATGTTTCGAGTTTCGATGCTCGTGAAGATCTGAAGGTTCATGGCTATATTCACGTTATTTCGCAGCGATAACGGCGCTCGATGATCTTCCCAGAAGAGTGCGGCGTTTTCGTTTTACCTTTCCGGACGACAAAGAACGGATTGCCTCGTAAATTTTTAATTACACATAATATTTTATAGCTAAACGGGAAAAAAACGCAAGTTTTTTTATTTATGAAAAATTGGTCTTATAATTAAATGTTTTATATATGAAATTATTAAAGTTTTATTTTTCAAAATGCCGTTGCATGTGTAAAATTTATTGATGCTATAAAGTGCTTTATATATTATTTATATAAAATTTTCAACTGAAAATTTTATTCAAATAATTAATCTAAAATAATTAATATAATAATTATAAATGATAAATTCTGATTCTGGCCATGTTGTTATTAATTGGAAAAATAAATTTAGTGGAATTTTAGTGGATTATTCGTTAGCTGTTATTATGCTTCTTTTAGAGATAATGTAATTAATATATGCGAAAAGATAAACCGATATTCGTAGTCGATAATAATTAACTTACTATTTTATATAAGCATTTTTTTAAATAACTTTTGTATTACTTGTAGTTTAATTTTACAATTAATTAAATAATAAATAATAAATAATAAAATCAATTATAGAACGCCATAAATAATTTTTCACAAGTATTATGTAAGATAAAACATTGTTATAAAGAAGACATGAGAAAATTATTATGCATTTTTATGAAAAATGTATACAGATCAGAATTATAAATTCATAAAAAGGTAATTGTTTATATAATTAATAAAATGAACGGATGAACACTACAGCGCTATTATAGAAGTTAAGTAAACTGTCGATAAAATATACGGTTATTTAATGCAGTCGATATAAATCAATTATAAATTAAATGTCACTTTTATTGTTGTGTAATTAAGATCCAATTATATAATCCATTACGATTTTTGCTACAAACTTTCTTGTCGAATATCGATGTCAGTATAGTGCAACTGTTCTCGGTTCAAATTTTTTGTTTTCAGTTTGACAAAAGACTTGCACGCTCCACAGAACTCCAAACCAATAACAGAGATTTAACGAATAATCGATAAAAAAAATTCAGCCATCACGAATGCCACGTGCAAGAAGTTATATTTCATTGATTTTTTTCTAAATAATTGCACTAGAAATTTTTATTAATATTTCTGTAGATATACTAGTTTATACTAGTTTTAAAATCATGATAAAGAAAAAAATTAATGAAATCTGTAATATACCATGATGTAATGTAATTATGTAATGAAATTAAATCTAAATTGATAGTTTCCTCTAATAATATTTTCAATATTGTATCATTAACTAATAATTTATAAGTATCTACGGCAGAAAGTAATTTTCTTCGTTCGAACATTTGATGGAAACAGAAAATTGGAATAAAACAATTTAATGTCACGTTTTTTTAATAAAGCAAAGTTAATTTAAAAGAGGAAAATAAAATAATTATAATATTTTATATCAGAAATACTTCCCATCTCTTGTAAAACGCTACGAATTAATTCCAACACCTAATAATTAAATGATTTTCCTTTATTCATATATATTTTTATACAGAATTTTTTACAATATAATTTCATAAGTTTATGATTCTATATGGGCTCTTTCCCATTTTCGTCGGCACGACAAAATTGCCAACCGTTGTTGGACAAAGCAGTCATGATACAAATGTATGTACGCATACATAACGCCCGCAATACCGGCACGCTATTCTTTGATCCCGCATTTAATAAATTGAGTCGTTAAAGCTTCATGCGGGACGCATAACAGAAATAAGCCATAGTGATGCTCGCAACCGGACATGGCAAAGTATCTACATTTGCAACTTTTGAAGGCGCTCATACTTATATTCCTCACGTTTCTCACGTTAATTTTTAAACTCTTGGGTTGACAAGTCCAAAACCAAAAATAGATGTGAAAAATAAACATTGTCATACAAAACTCTTTATTTGATAGAAAATTCTATTTGGGATTGTAATTATTGAAACTCGTAAACAAATCGCAACAATTTTACAAACAATAAATTTATAATCTATTTTGGAAAATGTTATTATACCAATTTACTTTTGTTAATTAACACTAATGCTTTGCTTTCTTTTTAACTAATAAAATAAACTTGATTTATCTTAATACTTATATACCAATAGCTGGTAATGTAGCAAATTGTCAAAAAATAGAAGTAGAATGAAAGTGGAAAACTATATTTTTATTACTATATAATAATTAATAAAATCGTTCAGAAACACAATCGATCCGTAATTGTTACATCGCTGAGATGAGAACATAGAATTGAAAACCGTCTTTTTTTGTAATTTAAATGATCTTCCATGCACTCTAACGCCCTCCCAAGAAATATTACGGAGCAAAAAGCAACAAGTAAGTTTAAATGATGAACGAAAAAAAAATTTTTTTTATTTGGAAATTATATCATAGCAGCAAATCCAGTTATATTGTCCCTAAAAATCATGATGGATTTTGTTTGTATCGTTTAACATCCTTAAAAGGAGATATATAAATATTTATCGAGCGTTGTAAAGAGAGAGAACTCTATAAAGATTCTAAATTCTAAGTACAAAAAAAGCAAGTAACACACACAGATTTGTAACCCAAAAATTTAAAAAAATTTCAAAAATATTATTGCAACTAATTCTAAATTTACTTATATTTTGTTATTATTACCAACAATCGGCCACTTGACAATCAAGAGTTCTATTCAGAATTATTAATTTTTAACAATATTCCATGAATGACTGCATGAAACAAATTTTTTTCTTTTTCCCTTTAATGTAAATGTATAAGTGAAACTCTCTTGCTTCATCCAGCGGAACATTTTGAATTACAGTATTCACTCAAAACATATGGCTTTCAGCGTGTATTGCCATCTGAAGATGTAGGCATAAACGCTTTGAAGCTACTATATATTGTGATAAAGAAAGCGCATTATATCAACAATGAAACGAGAAATCTATAATAACTTCAATTTTAATGTGTTACTGGTTATATAATCGTAGAATTGAAAAAAATATCAATATTTAATTATAACATACAGATATATAAAAAAGCTTTATATCATATTAATTACATTAAAATAATATATATATATATATATATATATATATAAAATGTATGTACACACATGTATAAAACACATTACATTAAAATATCATAAAATTTAATTTAATATATATCGATCTGTAACTGAAAAGTTAGACATTTGTCTACATGTACATGAAATTTAATGTACTTTCCATACAATTTAGTGTAAAGTTAAGTGTTTTACGCGAAATTTAATGCAGTGGACATTAAATTTAAGTTATTCATTTTAAGTAACTTCATTTTCACTTTAATATTAAATGTTTTTAATATACTTGCTTGAAATTTGCTTCTGTTACATTACATGAAATTTGTTGCCTTTTTTAAAACAATGTAGATATAAATTATTATATATTTGCAATCAAGCGACGCATATCATTTTATATTCAAACGCAAATTCTGTGCGGCAGCAATCATTTGGCATCTTTGTAATTCCATCTTCTGTTCTTTTAGCTTGAGAAGCTGCTTCTTGAGTTCCAATTCCTTATGTCTTACAGCCATTTTCTCTTTGTGCCGCCTCTCTTTATTCTTTTCAGCCAATGCAAAATTCTTTGCCATTTCCTCTATAAATTTTTCGAATAATGACGTCAAAATTTCTTTACGTTCCAATGTTTCACCGTCTTTCTCATTGGTCATGGGAGCTAAAGGATCTTCGCGTTGTCGATCGTCAAGCGAGTCGCTGCCTTGATCGCAACCTGGTTTTGGATGAATCAAGAGATTAGTTGATCCGCTTGACGGCTGCAACTCGTTCGCCTCTAGATATACATGCCTCTTCTCATTGAAGATCTCGTCCAAGGCGCGTTTGTGTTCCCACTGTCCGTAATGTCGCATCCTGCCCGGTTTTTTCAGCCGTTCGCGGAACACGAGGTTTTTATACTTGCGCTCGAGAACCCGCCATTTATTCTCACATTTCTGCGGACTAAAGTAGAATCCGTAATTCTGCATCTCCAGCGATATCATCTCGAACATCTCTCGTAGACTCCTGATCTGCGTCGATTGTCCGACCAACGATCGATACTTCTTGTACTGGCTGATCAGGCAGGTGGTGGCCTTGCTGGTCCACAAATTCAACGCGCCCACGTCGACACTCGACGGAATCGTGCTGGCATTTTCCAAATTCGAAAAGCTGTTCTCGTGCTCCTCCTCGACGTAACACTGAAGGGTCGGTTCCACTTTGATTTCCATGTGACTGTCGATTTTGTTCTCTATCAAAAATAAATAATATTAAACAAAGTATCTTTTAAAGCCATAATGCGAACACACAACAAATAGACAAAAAAATAAATTAGTATGTAAATTATATATACTTTATTTGAAAAAGAAAAACATATAAACGTTTCGATCCTGTTTTGGATTCTCTTCAGTGTAAACTAATAATTAATTTTCTTAAATAAGAAAACATAACTGTTGAAATCGTCATAAACAAAATTCTAAGAAAAGCTATATAGTCATACGCTGAAATTAAGCTGGTCAATTATTTTTTCACGTCCACATCTTGTCAACAATTGTTCATCAAATTTCAATTAATTAAATAAATAAATAGTAATCAAATTATGAATCTGTGGTTAAATTCAATGTTAAACAAAATATGCACTTACATGAACAATGAGTAGATCGAACAACGCTTTTTACTGCATCAAACTGTCTGGTTTATTGCATTATACAATAGATTGATTTGAAATAATAATTGATAAATCTTAATTTTAAATTTACTAAATAAAAAATAAAATATAGCTTACATGAAAAACGTTAATAATTAATATCTAAATGATGTTCACAATAATAGTGTCGTCGACGTGATGATAGTTAAACAATGAAGAAATGTATGTCAAAATTAAATTATATGTTTTTATCTTTCAAATAAAGTATATATTTAAACACAAATAACCTATGTCGGTTTTAAAAAAGGCTTTATTTAATTTATTGATTTATTTATTAGAGGTTATTCGAATTATTTGTTATCAAATTAAATTAACAAACAATTTAATAATGGCAAAAATAAATAATTTAAAAAATTACAAATATATCATGAAACTATATGAAAAAACTAAATCAAAATAAGTAAAAAATAGTCGACTCTGGATTATATTAGGTGTTGGAATTAATTCGTAGCGTTTTTTAATGAAAGAATGTTATTTATTTCACATGAGCATTAAAAAATACATTAATGAAAGTACTTCCCATCACTTGTAAAACGCTACGAATTAATTCCAACACCTAATAATTTAAGTCATTTTCAGTATAACAATAAAATGATAACAGATTTAAATGTTGAGGATTGCATTAAATTTCTGTATGATATAAACGAGGCACTTTAGGCGTAGAACTGGAAATACGTCGCGAGTACAAAGTCAGAAGTAATCGTCCGTGAATAAAATCTTCAACCGCCTATTGTATTTGCAGAATATATTTTTTGTCAGATATTAACACTGAAATATCAAACGCACAATAGAATATTTCAGTTCCATTCACAAGTTACGAGATATCGACTGGCTTGCCGCTCGATGCGATTGACTCGCAATCTGTAGATCCGGGTTCAATCTCCCACCTTGCGCCCACATGCGATTTTTCCCGTTTTAGGAGCCGAAAATAGCTCCTAGCTAATATGATTAAGAAATCTTTGATCGACAATGCCGTTAATAAATATCGTATAATATTAATAAAAAATTGTTTGGGATTGGAAACACCTTTGAAAATTGACCATTAAACATGATGCATTTAAACAAATTTCAATATTTTTGCTTACTTTTCCCCAGGTGTTCCCCAAGTGCCACGAACTTTTTAATAATTTTGTCATATTTAACACTATTTTTTTTACTTATATCTTTTTGGACAAAAATCTGTCCTTTTTTGGAGGGTATTAAAAAAGGCCTGATTTTTGCCCAAAAGAATGTAAGTAACAGAAATAGTGTTTTTTTGTAGATTTTGACTTCCTAAATATGATAAAATTATTAAGAAATTTATGATATTTGGGCAGAGAGAGAGAGAGAGAGAGAGAGAGAGAGAGAGAGAGAGAGAGAGAGAGAGAAAACATCTTGAAAAGTAAGCAAGAATAACATTGAGATTTGTTTTAATATATCACGTTCATATTCAATTTTCAAGATGTTCCCTATCTATCCTTTTTATTAATATTATCATATTCAGCAAGTTGAAATTTATAAAAAACGCTATTCCTTTGCGGACAAAAATCGTCCTCTTTTTAATGTCCTCCTTTTTCGAGAGAATTGAACAGACCTGCACCAAAGCGATTTTCTTACCTTTCAACTGCTTATTATTAGCCATGATATCGTCCAGGTGAGAATCAGCGTCGACGACGTTGTGATCGCACCAAGTAATCTGGTTGGAGTGCTATTCTCGTTGATGTCTCGTTATACGCGCAGTTTCTCGTGAGGAGCCGAAAAACCAAAGGAAACTAGTTCCAAACCGGTTTCAACCTGGAACTGGTTCCGTACGCGTTGCAAACTATCGGTAATCATGTTCGCCCTCTTGTTAGATTCCACGTGAAACACGCGCAACTTCACCGGTTCGTGCAAAGATGTCGTTGATTGTCTTGCACGAGTTTCGAACGCATTCCGAACCAGGATCGGTGTAACGCACTCCGTTCTCAAAGTTCGATGGAAAAAACAAGGGACTGCGGAGGATCGTCATGTCAGGCGCGTATCGGTTTACGCAAAACCGTTTCACTTCAAATGGAAACTTGTCGCCGAGTTAACTAGTTTTTGAGCCGAACCTCTTCGGCGAGGGCACTTTCTAATAGGAATCAGACGTCTTGAGAAAAGACACAACACTCGACAAACATACAGTTTCTCGAATGTTTGAATTGTGCTTATTTAACAGACCGGTTGTATTACTGATAAACACGACTACATTTTTATTTTTAAATCGTCTGATTGGACTCTGAGCTTTAGATATCGTATACTCATTAAGGCCTAAATTAGACTTCCTGGCCAAGTGTAGGAAGTAAATTTATGCGGTTATGCAAAGCAGTTACCGAATCAGAAACAACTTTTAATTTTTGTTAGCTAATGAATATTTTCCTTATAATTTGCATAGTTAATTCTCTTTTCCCTCTCCTTTACATAAATAAAAATTAGATATAACTTTTTATTTCAATCCAATATATACATGAACCTATCATACACTGAAGAAAAATATTAAATTTTAATATTAGGTGTTGGAATTAATTCGTAGCGTTTTTAATGAAAGAATGTTATTTATTTCACATGAGCATTAAAAAATACATTAATGAAAGTACTTCCCATCACATTAAAAACGCTACGAATTAATTCCAACACCTAATACATACTTTTTTAAATGTTTTTTTAGTGCTGAATAAATATTTTTTTACAGTAAAGAAATGCCTACTAAAAAAAATTAATTTGATTAAATTAAATTAATGTTCATATCAAATAAATATATGTAATATTGTACAATAAATATTTTCTTAGAACTATATACTATTCAAATACATTAAAATTTAGTTTTTTTTTCAGCGTATATTGTATTAATTATTACAAATGCTACGAATAATTAATATTATTATCAATATATACGATAATTATAATTAGAAACCTTTCACCTTCTCGCAATCTTAACACGCTAATTTATATTCTAAACTTTATCATAAGTGAATTTCTTACTTATATGTATTTGATGATATAATATCTTCGTAACACACTCATGTCTCATGACGCAATCAAATGAGAATCATTACTTACACTAATTGTAACTGCTTAACTAGAGACATAATGAATGGAAAAATTCCTCTACATACATATATAACTAATTAAATAAGAACCTCATACTCCTTACATTTTTCGTCTCGTTGCAAAATCACTCATCGATACTTTCGTTCTGGCTAAGCCAGATTCCTCGCTCGGAAATGCGCGCTAATAAGTTCTTCATGGTCGCAAAACGATTTTGCCACAACGCGTTCGGAAAACACATAGTTGCGGTATAAGCGATTTACGAGAAGACGTACGGATGCGTAGGAACGCACGTACCGTTCGCGGTTTATGACAACTTTTATGTAATGTCGTGGAACGGAGGTAGCGGGATTCCATTGCGGGATGCAGTTGTTGGACGTAGTTGTTCTCGAAAATAAACATCGAGAATGCATCTGCTATAGTCTATACGATAACTTTATCGAATAATTTCTGCCGGATGTTTTTTCCAATTTTGATGTATGTACGTACATATTATACAATACGTACATCGATCGACCTAGTTTGCTTTAAACAATTTATGACTCACGTCAGATTTCTCGACGGATTTCATAAGTTTATATGCCGTGTATCTTGATAATAATAGCGTATGTTGTATTTTTAATATATGTTTTTAATATATACTGTTCAATGTAAAATTGAGTTGTTTAATATAAAATTAAATCCAATTTGAATTATTTTTGATCATTTTTATAGATCGCCACTACTCCAATATGTCGTTAATTTGACTAAAACAGTGCAGACAATTTAACTCAAGAAAATACATTAAATTTAATTACAAATGGAAGTTAAAGATAACAAAATGTATTATATTTAACTTAAGGGATTGGATTATCATCATTGTTCCTTTCATATAACAGTATATTTTTAATATGGACTAATTTTAATATGAGAAATATTTTTTATTTTACGCGGCACGTGATATCATAAACAGAGTTTCAATCCCTTAAATTTTCTGACACAAATTATAATATCATATCATTTAAAGTGAGCTTCTTCAGATTATAACGTCTAACGAAATTTTCTAAATGACACGCAACGTTTGCCACAATCATGTTTGCTCAACGCCTCTGGCGCGACGTAATTTAATACCGGAATAGGTACGTGTAATCGTATTCTTATTTGTGTAATTGTGGCGCCCGTTACGTTCTCCTGCTCTCAATCGTAACGAGACTGAGAATAAGGATCATGCGAAAGTATTTCGTCAGTGTAACGCGGGCGATCGCATCACGCAAGAAGGAAGATAATCGTGGCCGATGTAACGACCAGCCGTAGATAATCACGTTGCCATCAAGACGAACCTTTCACCGTTCTTACCGATAATTATGCGCTCCTTTAACATCCCTCGGACAATTGTCGAACTGAACACGGAAGGGAGCGACGTGATGTTAACGTCGATAGTAAAGCACTTTATAGCTACCGGGAAGCGGTATCGTCATATTGTAATTCACAAAAGCCAAAAGTGCTCATTTAATAGCAACTGATGGAACTTTATACGAAAGTTACGTAGTTAAGTAATGGAAGTCCTATTACTAAGATGTATCTAATAATAATCATTAACAAGATGCAACCAAGACTGATCTTTCTAAATCTAAAGGAAGGATAAACTTCAAAATGGAATATTTTGCTTTATATAAAAATTAAATTAAAAATTTTCGAAATACTTTGAAAATAATTGATATATGTATATATGATATATGTATCACAAAATAAATTAAACTGCTATGTCTTAATAAATGCATTTCCTGTGTCATATTTTATTCTATACAAAAGAAAAGTCTACTTTATACGTAACAAAGATTTGTGTAAAGATCAAAATTTTTTAAAAGTTGATATAACTTAATCAATAATAATATAATGGTTAAGTATTAATATATAATGAAGTATAACAGAGCGGTTTGGCAGGTTTAGCGCTCAAGTCGACGACATTACGTTGTTACGCGACCATGGAAAGGCATCGATCTCGATATATAGAGTCTACATGCCGATTTACTTTCCCTTCGGGATATTGAATACCTTTCGAGCTTCAAACATTCAAGCATCGAACGTTCCACGATAATTTTAAATTCTCGTTCGCGTCACATGTCAGAATGAGCGTAGAAATCAAGGACAGAAATTGTATGGGAAAGGATTTCTGGTGTTTGCTTGTCCAATATTAAATTAATTAAAATTTAATATTATTTAAAATTTAATAACATGATCTCATGCATATGAGAGAAAATGACTGCTTTCCATTTAATCACACAAGTCGACACAAACATCGTACTATCTTTCTTGACATTCGGAGAGCAATAAAGACAGAACGACACTTGTGTCACCAAATAGAAAACACCCAATAAGTTGTATAAGAGCTTTGAAACATAAAATTGCATACATAAATCAAAAAAGATTTACTAAATCTTAATACATATTTTCTTAATAGTATTAAGTAAACATTTACTTACAGTAAACAAATTACTCAATAAACATGATGATTGAATCAAATTAATGGTTCTTGTAGCAAATAAATATATGTTTAAATTTAGTAAATATTTATTTTGAATTATTCAAACAAATATTTATTCAAATTTAATGTATTTTTTCAATTTATCAGGATATATTTAGGGTGCGTGTCTTAAAATATACGCGCATCACGATTATTAGTTATTCGGTAATAAATTTATTGTAATTAATTTTTTATAATAATAACATGTAATAAAATTAACAATATTATACATATATATATAATACTAGTTTATGTATTAAGGAACAGGGCTCAGTAAAATAATCAATACGACTTATTTAAAATAAAAAATATAAAATAGGTTCCAAGAATTTATTTAAAATGTTAAATAAGAAATAGATCAAAAGAAATTATTTAAAATATAAAATAAGAAATAGGATTCAAAAATACATTAATTTATTGAAAATATAGAATAACTTTTATTTAAAATAGAAAAATAACTTGTCTTTTATTTTAAATAAGTTTTCTCGAAGGCAATTTCTTATTTTAAATAAGATATTGTTTTCGAAAACTTATTTAAAATATAAAATAAAAAATATGTACTTTAAATAAACGTTTCAAACAGTAAATACAAAATATTTTAATGATTTTTAATAAATCAAGGCTTGATTATATTGCGTTGCGTGTACACGAGCCTATTTTTTTATTTTTAATGATTTTATTTATTTGAATATATGAATGTACATTTATAAATACAACGTTTCAGTTTTTTTATAACTATAGCCTATAATTAATACTTAATAGTATTAACCCTTCGCGAACCACAGGTGGAAAATTGATACAGATTATACGTGAGTATATCTTGTACTTCACACATACATATGCTATATTTCATCATAGATATACTATATAATTTATAACTATTCACCGTCACTTTTATTGACGAATCGGTAACATAACTGAACAACTTATTTAAAATATAAAATATAAAATAAGTTCCAAAATATATTAAATAAAAAATAGGTCAGAAGAAGTTATTTAAAAGAATAAATATTAAATAATGTTTTAATCTTTTCTTTATTTAAATTTCGTAGACATGTAAGTATAATGACATCGTATAAATCATATAAATTCATAGGTTCTTATCTACATTTGGGATCATTAATTCCTTAAGGGCTCGGTCTTATTTCAAATAAATTTATTTAAAATATATATATTTTAAATAAATTTATTTGAAATAAGACCGAGCCCTTAAGGAATTAATGATCCCAAATGTAGATAAGAACCTATGAATTTATATGATTTATACGATGTCATTATACTTACATGTCTACGAAATTTATTGAGAGTTGGAAGAACAATATATCGTGATCTCTATCTTGCCTATATTTCTGCGGAGTGTAATACACGGTGGACGTTCCAGCGTGTGCATTACTGCGGATAGACTTTGTCGTGATTGCGGGTGCCGAGAGCGCAGGAAGCAGACCATTTTGCGAGTCGTCTAGAACAGAGCGCATGTAAATTACGGAAGGGTCGACATAATAACACCCACGCGGGAGTGTAACGTCTAGTTCGCGATGAACGCAGAGGACAAATCAGGGAAAATAGATACAATATACGCGTGCGTTTAATCCACTGTGATGAGACAACTTTAGGAGATAAGGGATGATACGCTTCAATCGGGCAGAAATTTACTTCTCGTAACGAGATAGTCAACACGTCAACACTTAAATGTTAAGTTATTTTAAACGAAGTAACTACAAAATATGAATATGGATTTAATATCATTAACAATAAGATATTATTACTTATGTGCGATGACTCGGAAATCCGCGATATGCGGAAGTCTCATAACGGTGTTCATATAATTTTTATTGCGTTTGTGTTTATATCAACACTGACATGGTAAGAATTATATATAAAGATGCATCATACGTACTTTTTACAAAATGAAAAAATTGTGAAAAAATTACAAATTTTTCTATTTGTGAGCAATACAAAAAGTTTGATAGAAATTTAGAAACTGGATAAAAAATTATTTCAATAAAAAGCAGTAAACATATTTTTTAAAATGACGATAAAATGAAAAACATTTCATTTAAATTGTATTATTACAATAAATATTAAATATTAACCTCTCTCTCTCTCTCTCTCTCTCTCACACACATTGAACTATATGTATATAATATTTATTTTTATACGGAATGTTATGAATTTCTAATTCCAGTTACTTTTCACAGAGCCTATACACATAATCCTTAACACCCACAATATAAAATTCATACCCATACTTCTTAGAGTACAGGTTCAAACTACAATGACTTGCTCGTTATGAGACAGTTCCGCATATCGCGGATTTCCGGGTCATCACACATAAGTAATAAGTACCTTAATACAGAAATTTGCACGCATGCATTGCGGACATATTTTATAGGACGATATATATTTCATATCCAAATATTCGTGCATGATAACTTTTAACAATTTAATAATAATTAATAAAATTATTATCACGCACTAATTTAAACATCAATCGATGATAGAGAGAATATATGACGTAACAGAAATGGTACACTCATTTATCAAACAAGATAAATCGTACCAAACACCTTTATCAATCGATCATTCGCTGATATCCTGAACACCTCATTTAACGTAAACGTGGAGTGTTTACGGATTATCGAGGATGATCCGATTCACATACACCACCAACGTGGGTATAACGGATCAACCCTTAAAACCGCGGCGTGTCCCCGCCGTTGCAACCCTAACGCTTCGATTTTTTGCGTTCGCGCGTCATGTGCGTCATTCGCTGCTTGTTAGAGTGACATTACGGAGTAGAGTCGAACGCGGCGGGAGAGCGTCAAAGAGGAAGCAAACGAGCGAGCGAGCGAGCGAGAGAGAGAGAGAGAGAGAGAGAGAACAAGAGAAAGTGAGAAAGAGAGGAAAGAGGGAAAAAAGCAATGTAAGAAAGGAGGGGTGATTTGGCGCGCGCGTTCCAACGCCAGCGCACACAATGCTTTGCGCATGCATACAACACAAACGCGCATAGAAGTGAAAAGAGAGAGAGGAGGGTAGACTGTCGGCCGGCGCGAGAGAGAGGCGATCTCCGACGATCGACGGCGGCGGGAATCGCGGGGTAGCAGATGGAAGCGCGAGACTGCGAGCTGCGAGACAGGCGCGTTTCGCCTTTCGACTCGACCGAGGGGTTTCGGTATACCGTATACGTATATAATACGGACTAAGCGGACACACGTACACGCGAGCGGGCGAGCGCGCGCTCGCGCACGCGAGAACGGCAGGCTTCGAGAGATACTTTCGATTTCGTCGAGTGGGCCGGCTCTCGCGGTGCCGCCAGCCGCCGTTCGCCGTTCGCCGTCGGCCGTGGCCCACCGCGCTCCAGGAGTCCAGGAGGCGGACATCGACTGTGATGCCAGTCATCGCGCGTTAGAGCGACGGTGCGTATTTATCGCACAGTTTCTCGTGACAGTCGTGACACTTGGCCGCGCGCTCGCAGCGACGACGTGACGACGGGATTCGTGATTGTCGTCGATTGTCGTCGCAGTGCCGTGCGCGTGTGCGACGCGTGTGCGACGGATGTTCTGATTTGCTCCGCGGCACAGGTGCGGTTTTTCCACCCGTTCAATCACTTCAATCGCTCGCGGCAACGCGGTGCGGACCGATCAGGAACGATCGCGAGAGCGGCAGGTGGACGCGCGTGGTTAAACGCTTTTGCGAAAGAGAAGAGTGCCGCTCTTTCGGTGAGAGCGGGATAGCAACTGATAGCGACAGGCAGACAGAGAGAGAGAGAGAGAAGAGAATGGAAAGGCGATCGATTTTTGCGTAGAGTGCCCAACTCTCCGTGTCCGGAGAGCCCTTTCTCACTGCGATCAATCGAAAGGCACTGGATCTGGATCAGTAGAATCCGCGAAAGCATGTAAACATCCGCTCGGATACGATACGACCAGAGACACGGACGGAGCAACGAACGTACTTTCGTCTCTCCCTCACAAAACCGCTGTGTGTTCGCGCGCGTGCTCGACCGTATGTAGGCAGTCATCGATTTTCCGGCGATCGCGTGTGGCCGGTACGACTCGTCGCCGGTAAGAATCCCCAAGTACAAGAGTATGAAGAGGTGGAGCTTCCGCGCAGTCAAGAAAACTGCGTAAGAACGACGTACGTTGCCAACGTACGTACGTGCGTACGCGCGCACGTCGCGGTGTTCTGTGGTGCCGCGAGGAAGCCGCGAGAACGAGAGAAAGAGAGAAAGAGAGAAAGCGCGGCGGTGAAAGAAGGATCGAGCGATAGAAAGAGCAAGAGAGAATTTACTTGAATACTGACGGCGCGCGTTCAACATGGCTACCGCCGGCAGCAACGCGACGGCGAGCGCCGGCAACGAGGCGAGTGGCACCAGCAACGTGCCGCAATGGAAGCGCGATCTGATACAGCGTCGCCGTCAGCAGAGCAAGGTCCTCGCGAACAACGGCGCGAGCGTCAAGTTGTGTAGCGCGGTGATAGGCATGTCGTCGTCGTAGTCGCCGTCGGCGTCGCGGTCGCCCGGGCGGGA